TGCAATTTAATGACGGGATAATAATATGAACAATATTAAAAATACTGTTTATATTTATGTACAGGTAGGTAGGTACCTAAGGGTTTTGAAGGTTTAGTATCCTTCATTATGCTTGATATGATAATTAGTAGTTTATGATAAATTTGTATTATTGAAAAGGTCAGATTAGGTTGACCGGGGACTGGGGATGACGTTTTGTTTTTATAATATAACTTCTGTCAAAACTCAAGCTAATTTTTTTTTCGTAAAATTCAGTAATTTGCAATACTTCTAAGTGTCTTTTATATGCATAAGTAGTCGGTGGGAATATTTAAGATAGGTGGAAATAAATTTGGGTACATTGATAACACGCAATGATTATATAGTGATAAGTGATAACACTAATTAACAGAATATGATATTATAGACATTAATTTTGTTGTAAATTATATCAAGCTAATCTTAATTTGTTGTGACGTAATGTTATAATACTAAATTAATATTTACTACATATGATCCCATCTGCAAATTGTGAGTTTCCTAGTTTGCAAGAGATACAGCTATTACTGAACTCGTTTGTGTCTAGTGTAAAAACTAAAAGAAACGAATTTTACAATTAAAATAAGAGGTCTCTCGATTTTATGATGGGAATAAATATATACTGAGTAATAAACATTGTTAAAATTTACGTAAATTGTCTTTACCAGTAAAATGTACAAAACCGCCCACCTCTATAGAAAGGATATAATAACAATAGAAAATATGGACATATTACACGTAAAAGTACATCTTATGTTTTTAATTTATAATTATTGAATTCGGCAAAACCCATATAAGTCGTCTTTAAAAAGCCTGTCGTGGACAATTTTCAGAGCCGGTCTTCAAAGGGGGATCACTTCTGATATATTCCAACGATTATCATGGGCTGATGTCTTTCATACAACTGATCCATCTCCTATGGTCTGAAGCCGTAATTTATTTGGTGGGCCATTATGGCAGGGCACGTTTGTTTGTGTTCAATTTATTCGGTTTGTTCAGGTTACTCGCTTGATTTAATTTTTACCTATTCCCATTACACCCATTACATATTTTTGTCGATTTCGTATTTTCGTGTCTCTTATTTGTTCAGCGTGGTACCTATATAATTGTTATGTTAAATCTGTGTAGGTAGGTTTTTTATATCAGAGACCAGATGTGTGTGCCCAGTACTTATTTGAAAATTTGTATAGACAATAGTACAATACAATTAAAATATGTACAATTGTTTATTGTTATCCTGTGTATGTGATGTTTAATCGTTCCAAGTTTAGTCCGCCTGCAATGCATACAATTATAAAGAGATTAAATAACGTATTGGATTGAATTTGAGAAATAACATATAACAACTACAAATAATAATAAATATATATTATACACAATTTTAGCAACAGCACACATTTTATAAGCAACTGCTTATTACATTGAAGGTGTAGAGTAAAAGTAGGTAAATTACAAATAAATCTAATAATATTATTCATGATTATTCTCACTTTGCTTGAATTGACTTTAAACAGCCCTTCTCCAATATATCGATTTCATAATATGAAATAAATTATTGTACAACGAAATATTATTATAAATAACCCTTAACTATTGTTTATTAAATATTGGTCGTAAATTACGAATAATACACTTGTACTGGAAATCAATAAATATTCCTAGACATTCAATAGAATTTACTCTTACAATATTTAAGCATGTAAGTATAGTTTTATGGTATTATGCATGTATAATTTTTGCTCAAAATTTATAATAGAATTTTGATTGAAAAATAATATGTTTAGTTAAATTGAATTCAAGGACATTGTTATTAAATCACAAAAGTGTAAACTTAAGGCTATATTAGCTTTGGTACCTACTCACAATATAACTTCTCAATATTATTTTTTTGTAAAGCAACTAATTTATATATATATAATAAGGGATCAAAATTTACGAAAAAAAGATTTACCGAAAAAATTGGGAAAATTTGGTTTTATTTAAAATTGGTTAAAACTGGTTTTTTTCCTAAAAAATTGAAAAATTTCATAAAAAACTGGTTTTTTTTCTAAAGAAGTGAAAAAGTAAGGTAGGTATAGTGGAAACAATCTAATGAATAATGATAGTTGATAATTATATTAAATACATATTATATATACCATACCTAACTTAGAGTCTGTAGTGGACAAATCTAGATGATTCTATACTTGACTTATAAATAATTATAATTTGTAATATTAACTTCTAGAGTATACTAACTATAAAGTATTTACTATGTAATTATTTCTTATTAGTTATTAATATTATTTAATTTTTACCAACTTACTAAGTTTAAAAACACAGGTGATTTATTTTCAGGGAAATACACTCTCCCACATAAATACCAATTTGAAATGTAACTACGTTGTTTTTAGAACAAATATTGAAATACCCATATTAATATTTTAATAGTTTAATTTTAAATTTTAATACAATAATTATTGATAACCGTATTGGCAAATGTTTAATGACAATGACAGATTTAACTATCAATTTTTTAAAATTTCTTTTTTTACATAGATATTTTAATTTTTAAGCGTAAATACAATTTTTAATTTTCCAAAAATTCGGTACTACCTGTAGCCTATTTGTAAGGTATGCACTTATAAGGTCGTCTTCATTAGGTATCCCTAATTCCACCATAATAAAGTGTTTAAAGTTTTAATTCCATTAAGTTCTAACCATTAAGAACTGTGGTATAAACTATAAAATATGCAAGTTACGATGGGTTTATTATAAATAATGGTTTTAATACAATTAATATTTTAATTGATCTAGGTATAATAATTATAATTTTATTTAATATTCAGATTTGAGTTATGTCACTATTCTTTCAGCAGTGAAATTTATAAAACTTTAAAATTTAGGTACAGATAAAAGCTGGAAATACGGTTATAGAATAATGCCATGCAATCTGTGTATTGAAATTGAAATTTATTTTTCTTTAAAATTTGTTATTAAAATTTAAAATAATTATTTACAAATATTTAACTATCTATTTAAAACCTGCAGCGTAGATTATGGTCACGAGAAATACGAATAAATTGGACCCCCTTGACTCTGCTATTATTATGTCCACTGAATTATGTGGGTCATCACGTGTTGAATACAAAATAAACATTTCCGGACCACCACTATGGTCTTAAAACATGTGCCAACAAAATTATATCGGCATTTGTGTTTTCCTTTATCCACCTTAACTATTAGAACGGCTCCCAAACATGTAATACAATAATAAGGTATAAACTTTGTTCAAAATAACAAATTTTTAATCTCCTCCTCCGACAGAGAAAATTAATAATAATAAAAATCTATATATATAAAAATGAATGTATGTCAGTGTGTGTGTCCATATTACCATGGCAACCATATCTGTATATTTTAAACAGTAAGCTGATAGACTGCTATCAACGCACAGCTCAAACCATTGGACGGATCTGGCTGAAATTTGGCATACAGATAGCTATTATAATGTAGACGTGCGTTAAGAAAGGATTTGCCAAAATTCGCATTTTAAATAGGTGCTGAAACAGGGACATTGAGATTCACGATAGAAATTGAAAATTTTATTTTTATTTATTTATAGTTGCCATTGGTTACAGTCTACATTAGAAATTAGCATTTATTTATTGGTTGAAATTGGTTATTCGGGCAGATCAGGCGTACAAGCTTGCATCAAATCGAATTATTGAACATTGCCTACCAGGGTGGCTGAGTAGCACTTACCGCAGCAAGTTACACCCACAAGGAGTTCAACAATCATCATTTTTTTAAGAGTTGCGATTTTTTACGAGCAACCAAATTTGTTATATTAATCCACAGTATTATATCAAAATAACCTTGGTATAACTTTGATACTTTAGAGTTAAATCATACACTTCCGTACAAACAGCACGGGGTCCGCGATCTACCGCAGGTAGATTGCCTACCTGATAATGTACTGCTGCGATTCAGAATTTTTATTCCGGGCAACGGAAAAGATAAGATACATTTTGAACACCATACACCGAATATTGAATATTGAATTGAACAAAGTTTGAGTCATATTGAGTTGATACATTTAACGGGCGACGAAGTGCACGGATCAGCTAGTAATAAATAAAAAATATAAGTGGTATTTGAATCCAGTGTTATGGCTGTTGAATAAATTCGCAAACATAATAAATAATAATATATATATATTATTCACAATAATATACTTATCTACTGATAGATAATATTTATTAATTCTCAATCATGTCAATCAAAATAGTAAAATATATCAAATAAGTTAATCTAAATTAAACTAAATCTGGTTTGCTGTGCGATCAATTTATTAATGAAGCAATGTGTCGTGACTCATTATTCATAAAGTATACCTAAGCTAAGTTGTTCGTTTTTAATAATAATAAAAGAGAAAAAAATTTAAAAAAATAACTGAATATTTTGTGTTTATTTATTTCTGTCATCATTACCTTGGAATAAAATTACAGGGAATGCGAACTAGTATCGAAAGTCAGTAAAAAAATTATAATTTTGATATTTGTTTTTTTTTCTACGACAGACAAAAAAAAAAAAAAAAAAATGTAATTTTGACATTTTTAAAGTGATGCTGCCACCCAGTTTTATGAATACGATACAACCGACGATGATATGGTTCTTGACGGTAAAAATAACAAAATCATAAGATAGAAAGTGTAAGTATATGTTTAATCAGGGTTGGGCAAATTATCAAAAAAAAGTAATTAATTACAAATTACAAATTACTCAAAATACAAGTATTTAATTACAAATTACTAATTACATGATTGTAGAATATTTAATTACAAATTACAAATTACATAATTGAATTACTTAAAATTAGCAATTACATTTAAAAATTATTCATATAAAAAGTTTATAAATTAAATCAAAAAAACTAAAAAACATTAGAAAAATATAGGTACATAGAAAAATTAGATAATCCCGTAATTTTGATTGCCCTTTTAAAATACTAGTTTTTCGAATTGTTCGTCAGACAACCGGGAACGAGAAGGTGCCATTATGAAGTCAGCAAATGAAAACAATCTCTCTACCGGTGCTGACGAACAAATATTAGTATTATAATTAATAAATAATTGTTTCACAACAGGATAATTGTTTAAACATGTAAAACTTTTATTTTTGTCATTAAAAAATTGCAATATCTGTAATTCAACACTTGTTGAGGAATCTGTTACAGCGTTACTACGGTTTGGTGACATGAATATTAAAAAACTTTCCTCGTTGTCGGATATATCGGAAGTAGAAATTTCATTATTAGGTATATTTATTTGTTTAGCAGCATTTATACATAGCAATTGTATTCTTTCTTTATCAGCTTCAGTTAGACCTTTTGGAATCCATCGCATTTTAAAGAATGGATTAAAACACGTAGCCAAAATAGCATCATCAGCTTCATGTGATAAATTTAAATAATTTTTAAATCTATCATGCAGTTTAATTAGCATAAGTAGAAATCAATTAAAATAAATAGCGTAACTTTTGATTTTTTAATTCTTCAAGACGAAGTTTTAAAGAAATCAAAGTTGGTATTAGTTGACCGTAATAACAGTTTTTTTCCGCTTGTAAATAGTCTAATGCCTGTGCTATTGGCTTTAAAACTTTAACTAATTCCTCTAAGTATTCGTAATCAGATTCCTTAAACACAAATTTTAAATTGAGGCATTTAACGACATTATTTAATTTACATCTCAACGTTATTAAATGATTAAGAGAGTCAAACATAGAATTCCAACGTGTCGGCGTTGGATAAATAAGACTACAACCTAGTTCATCAAGGATGATTTCAGACGATTTTGGACGCCTTGATGCATTCCACAATGCAGTACATTTGCCTATCACGGAATAGTGTGTTTTTGAATTAATATTACCTAAAATGTTATTGAAATCTGTGGTTGCTAAGAGGCTTAATGTGTGACTAGCACAACGAACATGATGAGGCAAAACAAAATTATTAATAAGATTATCTTCAAGAGGTATATCCAAAAAAACTATTTCTTCATTTTCACTGTTAGTGTTTTCTTCTATAACAAAATATATAACAAACGGTTTGTTACAAACCAGTATACCGGGATAAATATGCTTAGTATTTCTTACCAAAATTGATGTTGCAATTAAATTCTTTAAACGCTTTTACGAAATTAGCTCCATTGTCCGTCACTGTCGATGTTATTTGTTCAATGTGTAAGGAAAATTCAGAAAATATGCACTCTAAAATTTCTGCTATTTTATCATATGTATGTGACCCTTTAAATCTCCTACAAGCTAACACACATCCATGGCGTTCAAACGTCTCAGAATCAATCTATATGTGGTATGGTTTTGTGTAAAAATGTATTTTATGTTAATAACAAAAATGTATATTATTTTACCCAATGTGCGGTCACACCAATAAAACTGCGATGTTTCGTACTCCAGATATCAGCAGTTGTACACACTTTGATTTTAGGTGATTTTTGAAATATTTTGTTTAATTTTTCACATATTATTATTTTTTTATCATCTAACCGTCTTCCTAAAGTTCTTCTCGATATAACACTAAGTTCAGGATCAATATCTAAGTGAAAAATTAAATAATACTTATTAAATTTACTCAAGGTAAATTATATATTTCAAATAGACTATTTCATACATCATACATACCATGAATAATTTTAATGAAATATTCATCGGACACCGTTGATAGTGGTTTCATACTATTCACAACATAATTTATTATATTTGAATCGAGTGTATTTTGTTTAGAAGTGGATAATTTTAATCCATTTATTAATTTTGTTTGTTTTAATACTGGAGACGAAATGGTATCGTCACTACATATTTTTCGTTTAGATGATCGTGGTTGTGACTTTAAATGAGTTTGGAAATCTTCGAATTTATCTTTATGTATTCTCTAAATAAAAAAAATGTATTATCTTCCGTTATTTTAATTTACCACAAACTTTTGTATAAAGTATAAAACATACATTTAGTAATTGTTTTAAATATTATTATTTGATAATAGATACCTTAATATGAGTCCGAAAATTTGAGTTGGCTTGAATGGAACCAGAAATCACAGCCTTTTCATTATTGCACAAAATACAAAGAGCTCGAACATTATCATTATCGATTTTCTTAATAGTAAAAAATGTTCCATCAAAAATTGGATGGTTGATATTTTTTTGAGAAAATTCATCAGCATTCATTTTAGTAATTTTTTACTTATTAATAAATAAGGAAAAATTTACAGTAATTACTTACTTATTAATAAATAAAGAAAAAATAGTAAGTAAAATAATTACAGTCGCAAAAAAATATTATTTACCACTATGCGTCTATGCGAGATCAGTGACGACTGACGGACGGCGATGAGATAGGTACTGGTTTTACTACAGTTACAGACACGTAGACGTAGTTCACAATTTTTGTCGATTTATACATAGAACATGGACTATGGACAGTTAAGATAGTACAATACTACATGTCACATCTTCTATATTATACGACGTATAATATACGTAGTACAAAATTCAAAATAAAATAATCTTTCAGTATCGCTACAAATTACTAACCATTACATTTATCAGTAGATAGAATTGAGAGAAACATAAACTTTGAATTGTACAGTTCAATTTTAAATTTATACTAGAAAGTAATTGTTGGTAATTATAAATTACTAATTACACAAATATTATGTAATTAATTATCAATTACAAATTACATCAACATTTTATAATCAATTACCAATTACAAATTACTGAAGTAATTGAATTACTGTAATTGAAAAGTGCCCAACCCTGGTTTCAAGTCGCTTATAAAACAACGTTTTTATTAAAAAATTATTTTTTTAATTATTTTTTATCCTTATAATTTTTTAAGTTTTTTACTTTTTTGAATAACAACATAGGGTTTTAATTTTATATTCCAAAGCAGAATATTTTTCTTAGTATTTTGATACATGAAAATTGAATTTGGGGCGAGTAGTTTATGAGTTATAAGTATTTAAAGTTTAGACGAGCGGTGAAGTGGACAAACATTTCGCGGGGTAACCCCGAACCACTCCACTCCGCTCGTAAAAACTTTAAATACTTATAACTCATAAACTACTCAACCCAAATTCGATTTTCATGTATCAAAATACTAAGAAAAATATTCTGCTTTGGAATATAAAATTAAAACCCTATGTTGTTATTCAAAAAAGTAAAAAACTTAAAAAATTATAAGGATAAAAATATAATTTTTTAATAAAAACGTTGTTTTATAAGCAACTTGAAACTATGTAAAAAAATATTTTCAAAAATATTTACACTTTTTGAAATAATGAGTGTTGTTTGATAAAAGAATCACCCAGTATACGTGTGTGGGTATGTATACGTATGTTTATTGTATTTGTATATATATATATTCACTAATAATTACAATGATATTTTTTACGGCCGACCGAAAAGCAAAAAAAAAAATAATTTAAGAATAAAAGTTTACAAAACACAATAATAGCATAAAAAAATTATATAAAATACTCTCTAAGCTCACATAGGTAATATAATAATATATTATATTGTACACTTCGCTTGCGTATCGTGTCGTACATACGTCGGCGGCGGCCTTAAGTTTTAATACATACGCCGTCTTTTGTTATTTACGACCAATTTATGCATAAATAATATAATATGTGTATATACATAACGTCGTGTACGCGTGTTCTTGTAAAACTACTACGAAAGCGTTGGTGGCGTCGGTGTAGCTCGTCGCAGTTTATAATGTATATATATTATATATAATTATGCACACCCCTACGACTCTCGCACACGCTTCGCACAATATTATATAAATATTACACCGTATATACGAGTTTACATAATATCACTCGAGACTCGCGTTCTCCGAGCCGAGTAATTGACTTCGACTGGATCCCCGCCGATCCGGGCAATCCGTCAAAGCTTTCGGAAGAAATAAAACGCACGTGACAAATCGGGCCTTCGTAAATAATAACACTCGACAAGGCGCAACAGTTGCATAGGACGCGTCGTGAGAGGCTAAAACGATGAATAAATTTATACGACTTTACGCGATAAATGCACGCACATACACACACACACACACACACCGAACAGGCGACTACGACTACGCACCGATGCAGCTTCCCCTCGTCGGGCTGTAACAGGTCGTCAAAATTAATTTATGGCATCATGACATCCCGTGTACCCTGCAGTATACCACGGTTAGGTTCGTAACACCGCTCCCTGTTTTTAAGTGCAATATAACGCGCCTTCGATGATAAATGTGCGATTGCCCGCCGCTCCGTCGGTCGGGTAAATTATTACGTACCTATATAAATATAAAACGCAGGATTTATATTATAATCTCTCGAGTGTACGCAATCGCGATGTTATTGTCAATAGATGGTTCTAACGAAATAAAAGTCAAAAAATTAACTGGCTTTTCTTTTCCTGTGTGCTATTGTGAATAATAAAATTATGAAATACATAAGCATAAGAAAGAGAAAAAAATTGTACTCTCATTACTTATTATGTATGTTACATATGTTGTCTCTGCCTTACTGCAAATGTAAAACATTACAAAAAAGGTCAAAAAACTGAGATCGCTCCAAACGCTACCGAAAAACGAAATTTTCATCACATAAAAGGGAAAACTTTAGCTGTGCAATATTTTTCCGATATTGGAAACACAAACAATAATGGATTTTGAAAGAATAATCGTTTTTCGTATAGATGATATCAAAAAAATAATAACAATATTGCACAGCTTTAGTTTTCATTTTTGTATCTTGAAAATATAGTTTCTTAGTTATGACTGTAATCTTCTTGCTCCATTCCCGAGAAAAAACAGTTTTTGCTATGTTGTTTATTTGTAAGATGGAGACAACACTTTTAGTTCTTCTTAAATCTTAATAATGAAAAATATAATATTTTACATATAATAAATGCTTAAATTTTTTGCTTTTCCACGACAATTATTTACGCTTCATGGATTTTCCACCCCTGCAGTAGTAGACTGTGCGTAGGAGTAATATTGGATGAGAATAATATTAATTTTTTCAGATTCATAGCCCACGTAGAAGACTTAAAGTTGTGTAGTCCTGCAAACATTTTTTTTTTATTCAATAAATATATTATTTAGTACCCATTTTCAAAATTTGTTTAAAATAAAATAATTGAGTGCATTTTTAGTTGGATTATTTTTACCTTTTAGGGCAAACCATTCCCAACCTTGAATATGAAAATATGGATACTACCAAAGTACCAAAGCATCAATACTAACAATGTAATTTCACTTAAAAACGACAAATTGATAATACTATTGTAAGTAAAATATTATCATAATAATGTGCTTGTATCGTGTATATATAGACTCGAAACTCCTAGGTGCACAACGAATTTGAGACGAGAAGTTGGTATTATTAATATTATTATATGATTGCAGACACAAGACACGGTTTTTACAGTTTAGAGATGTTTATTTCAGTCATTATATCAGGTACCTACTTTAAACTTATATACATATATATATATACCATACACATATGTTATCGTGACCTATACAAATAAATACACATGCTGGCGTTTGTTGACATTTGGTCGAGTTGTTTGATTCATTACCATGTGATTAGCCGGAAACGATTTAAATAATAATATTGGGTGTAATGAATAGTTTGTAATACATTTGTAGAATATTGTACTGACGTTCAAAATGTTTGTTAGTTCGCAGTTCGTTATTATTAATTAATCCAAAAAATGAAAGTAAGTTAGCCAGATCGATAGATAACCGTTTGTAGTATTGTTTTTATCCAAAAAAAAGATTTGTAAGTGAATTTATTAATAATATCAAATAAAAAAAAAAAATTAAGAGGTACTAGCGTTGCGAGGTAAGTGATGGTCGTGAGCCGCGTTAGTTAAGTGACTTTTTTTTGCTGCGGAATAAATATTATATAAACGTTGCAAAATAAAAAACAGATTCATCTATCTTGGCCCATACTAATTAATATGAATAATTAATGATCGATTATTATAGCATCTATAGTCAGAGACCAATATCAGTTAGCATCTAGTAAATTTAATTAATTGTTATTAATTGATTAATTCACTCACAAACCTTTTACCTGGATAAAAACAATGCTACAAGCAATTATCCATCGATCTGTCGAATAAAAATAAAAAATAATAAAAGTATCAATAATAAATAATTTCGGATAACTTCCTTTCATTTTTTAAATTAATTAATATTAACTCACGTGTAAAGTTCAAAAGAAGTTTCACTTCCCACGCGCGTACTGGTAATACACACACTAATTTTTTTATTTGTGCAACTCCAACGCTCGACATCATTGGCCAACATTTTGTGAAACGATACTTAAACTTATCAATAACTTTGAGTCTTCATTTTGAATTTTCAATATAAACAATAAACTTAAAAGTAGGTATCTCTCGACTCTAAGGCACTTGTCGTACTAAATCGCTACGTGATCGTAAATCGATAAGAGTATACCAGCCTTAAGATAAAATGTTCGTAAAATCCTTAAGTAAAAACCAATTCATGTTTAAATATAAGATTTAATATGTCAATTTATGTGTCACATACCTACTATACCTACTATACCTGTTTACCTACTATACAATAGGACTCAATCAGAACACGGAAAAGGTTGGCAAAAATCGTTTACCTGCGCCTGGGACGAAATCCACAAACTCCAATATTTTTTGAAATTCAAAATTTTTTATTTCTTACCTTTCCATTTTGTTCATTACTATAAGAAAGTAATTGCTGTTTAATCTGGTCATAATTACTCAACCCCTTCACGTGCCACAAAGGGGTTGAAAAATAGGGTTGATTATATGTCAATTTTTAAGTTTAATTTAAAAAATATTATACTTATGAATGTATTATAGGTAAATTATAGATATTTATTATTTATATTGTCAATAAAAAATACATTTATACAATTTCTTATGAATCTATTAATACGCTCAAATATTGAATAATTTGCGTATTAAAATTTATTATTTTAAATAAATTTCGTCTGATATGATGGTTAATTTTCAAGCATCAGGGAATCTCTTTCTATGACATTCGACGACTTATAAGAGGAATTGTTTTTCATTTTCATTTTTTGTAAGAATCGAATTATAATTTTGAATTAGAGCCAGTCCCCTTTCAGCAAAGTCATTGACAACTTTCATACTTTTAACCACACTTGGTCCTAATTGATAATCTGGCATATTTTCCCATTCTTCAGGATCAGACTTAAGAAACTCAGTTGGTATCATCAATATATTAAAAAAATTAATTAATTTATGATTAACAAAATCAGCAACAGTTTTCTGGGTAAAATTTACATCTAAAATATCAATTTTAATTTGATTTTTATAATCTTCTGAGCTTTTGTTACTTAATGCAGTGACCATTTTTTTTTAATTGGATATGAAACATTTTGATCAAAAAATGAAAAAGATACAAGCAAGTCTGATAAATACCACGGATGACGTAAAAAGGCTGTAATTCCTGCACTCGATACAGCTTTATCTGTGTACAATGACAGTTCTTTAAGTAAATTTAAATCGTTTACAGGAGCAGATACAGCACAGGGAGCTTTAAACCAATAAAATAAGTAAATTTGAACAATAAATAACTAAAATCTTTTCATATAATTTATTATATTTTTAGATGTTTTGAATTGATTTTTAAATATACAAATTTTGATGGCATAAATATCACGTGCCATCCATCGCACCCAATGAACTGCTCCAGGTTGAATAAATATTATACCTCTTGTAGGAATACCGCCGAGATAAATAATTATGAGTTCTAACAGCTCCCTGTAATCGTCACACGAATGAAATGAAATTTATTGTTCTTTTGCAAAATATTATGAATTCGTCTCTATTACTTATTCTTTCTTCCAAGGCTTGACAATTTCCGCATTTCTTGTTTTTCCAATTTTCTATCTATTTCAATCATATTATACCCTTTTCTACCTTTCTCGAGTTGTGCTAATAAGAATTTTTTGTCTTCGTCAATTTTAATAATTGAGAGACCATTTAAATGAGCAATATCAAATAAATCTGTTAGTTGATCTTTAAATACTTCTTCTTTTATTTGTAGTTGGGATCTACGTGACTTACCTTTTTGTAAAGCACGCCAATTCATATATTCTTTTTCTATTTTAGGAGTAATATTATAGTCATTCATGGTTGGTATCCTCGCACATTTCCAAAAATATAATAATTCTTGAGTTATAACGGATGAAGACTCTTTAACTGTTTTTTTTTCATTCCGTATTAAAAACAAGAGTCTACGCATAATTTCTCCATTTGAAGGAAACTTACTACCAGTAATTCGTTCTAAAGGCCAGTGGCGTATTTTCAATTATTTTTCTGGGGGTGGTCCAATAATTCCAACATAATATAGATAGGTACTGATATATAGAAATAGTTTTTAATAGATTATAAGAATAAAAAATAGTTGTTTTATTATATTTTATAATTTTCAAGTACAAAATCCAAGTGTTTTTTTTTTACAAAGTTTTATTTTAGATTCTGAGTGGAAAGATGAATGTATTGATTTTACAATTACGTGAGTTTTTTTTTTAATTTTTAATTTTTTTTTAATTTTTTTTAACGGGAATTTTTACACTAAAATCTGTTTTCTGAACGTATGAGTTGTTGTATAGTGGAGTGATGTGTTTTGAATCCAAATTGAAATTTTGGAATTGTATCTGTGCAGTTTAGGTAATTTTGAAGTCTAGAAAGAATGACTTTTTCAAAAATCTTAGATAACGATGTTAGTAGACTAATTGGTCCGTAGCTGTCAGGGTCTCTTTTGTCTTTCCCATTTTTTTTTATGAGGTTTATGATTGCTTTTTTCCAGTTATCCGGGAAGTGACCAAGACGAAGAAGCGAGTTAAATAGGGAAGTCAAGAACATACCTAGTTGTTTTAATAGGTAGTTTTTTGTACATAAGATTAGTGATGTTGTAGTGACCAGGAGATTTTTTATTAGGTAGTCTTTTGAATATTGTCTTAATTTCGTCTGGAGTAACAAACTTGATTGAATTTTGTACAGAGAAGTCTGGTGAACTCAGAACTTCTTCAACCCTGAGGTAGGTACATAATAATATTAATATATAATAAATATAAACTGAAATCATAATATTATAATCCTTATATTATATAAAAGAACAGGTCTGTTTTATGTAACAACTTTCTGATGATGCTATTGAAATTTTTTCCAATTTTTTTTTCAGAGAGTTGTTCCAAATACTCTTCCGAGTGATCTATTATTTCCAACTATATTGTTACTTAAAAAAATGCAAATCCTTTGTTTAAAAAGCAGTGATTTCATTCGTAATTTCAGTAACTAAATTATAATCGAAATATAACTTTAATGTATGTTGTTTGCTAGAAATGTACACGCACCGATTATATAATCGTGTATGCACTCTGTCGTAAATAAAGACTGACAGAAATTATAAACTACCCAACTATAGACTAATATAAATCTTGTTACATTTATTATAGTTTAAACATTATAAATACATGAGAGCTGTATGGAAAACACCGATCATTTTATTTCTATACCACGGTCCACGAGTCACGACTAGCTGAATTATATAAATTAAGTTATCAAACAAATTTAGCTTCAACTTTTTTTACATTACTATAACGATTCGTTAAAATGTATTTCCTTCATGACATTATCTGATATAAAGACACTCTGATATTTTACTCAGCATTTTAAATGTGTACATTTTTTTCCCGGGCATACAACTAGTGTATAATATATGGAATTCTGAGGATAGATTAATCTTAAAATTGCACAGTGCATTAAGAAAATATGTTGAAACATTTTGATTTTAAGGGGTAGAAATCGGAAAAAATCAAAATTGTACGTGAAATTGTAAATCTATTACGTAATGGTTGGCGGTAGCTATTCCAAGTTGTAGGAGAAATAATTTGAAGAAATTAGTATTTACTTGGTTGCCATTGGTTATTTGGGCAGATCAGGTACAAGCCTACATCAATTAGAGTTTTCGAAAATTGTGCACTTTTTCCGAGATTAGACGTATTTTCGGATTTTCTACTTGGGTGGCTGAGTAGAACTTGTTGCAGCAAGTTAATAGTTATCTACACTCAAAATGAGTTAAACAATAATAATATAATTTTTGTAAGAGTTGCCATTTTTCACGGGAAACAAAGTGTACGGGATCAGTTACCTAGTATAATAATAAGATTAATCATTATTTTTGTTATTTGTTATTGAATTATTAGTATATCAAGGTAATTTTATTTTGTTGAATTCCATCTGTAACATACAAATATTACATATTGCGAACTAGTGGCTATCAGTAAATGAGTATTTTTAGTGATATTGTTAATTCTAAGGTTTTTAAAATATCTATTATAACATGCGGTAATTGTGTTGTTTTAATATTGTCAATATTATAATCGTTACTATTATAATTTAGTTTGTGCCTGCAGGACCATAAAACTATTGACACTTGTTATAGGTTCATGTTTTCAATCATCAATATTAGGATAACTTTTTGCTAACGACCACTATACCTAAATAACATTTTAATGATATTTTACTAATTAATTAATAATATACGTCATATAGGCTCGGTATAATTTTGGGGCAAAGGCTTTATAATATAAATAAATACTTGTATTCACTAGTTTTTCTCTACTGTTAATTTCATTGTTACATCCAGGTACGACATTGTACACATCAACTGATTTCAACGAAAATAACTAATAGTTTTATTCGACGATATACCCTTCTTATATCTGTCTATACTTCTATAGACTTTTAATTATAATTTATTTTATATTAAAATAAACCAATAATTTGTAGAAGGGATAGTAATACATCGGTATTATACAATGTATGATGCATGTCTATTTTTATAATACCAGTTCTTGATTTCAACTCAAATTATATTACATTAAAATGTATTGCAATTACACTACAATTCCATCTATATTGAAATCCTTCTTACCTCATGGTATAATATTTAAATGTGTTTAAATAGGTATACTATGGTGTAATCTGTTACATTTAATACTTTAAAGTTTAAACAAAATAATGTTTAAATGTTCATTAATATTTGTGTCCTGCATTTATAATTACAATATTTTTTTTATTTTTTTTGTTAATTAAGAATAATATAAGGTAATTAAGATCTTAGAGTACATTTTGTTGTACGTATGTATATAGTTTGATAATTATAAATGTACATAATTAATTATACAAGACCAGTGTTAAATGCCGTTTAAGTTAAAAATGCACGTATTTAAGTCCTAAAAATGTACCATATATGCTCAAAATAAATGCAAAAGTGTTAGAATATTATGCTCTTAAGTATTTTATTTTTTCACAAAAAAAAAAAATTTAATTTAAAAATTAAAATTAATAAAAAAAAACTCTTTTCAACTGCCATGAATAATCGAAATTTCCCACATCAGGAATGCAAGAAACGAATTCAATTTTAATTAACTTTATATGTATAATAATCAATTTTATATTTTCCTCAAAATTAAAAAATCATGAAAAAATGTATTATTTGTACTTAAAATGTACCTACATTAGGTAAGCAGTGTGTAACAGAAAGACCTGAAAATTAATAAATAAAAAGTTAATACAAGCTATGAAAACAATTATGAAAGTTATATGAATAATACATGATTTAAGTTTACTTATGCCAGAAAACAACAAAAAATAATATCTTGGACACATTAATTAAGATTTAAATGAATTTACCAAAAAAAATAACGATATTTTAAAAAAATTTAAAATATAAACTACTTAACTAATAAGCATTACATTTATTTTTAAATTAGATTTACCTACAAATTGGGTATTTTGTATTTTTCCAAAAATATTTTATGAAATCTATTTTATTTTTAGTCTTAAAAATAAAAATAAAAATTGTTATACCATATACTCGTAGAGAAAACTGTTTTAAATATTGATTAGAAAAAAAGTTTTTACATTTGTCAGGTATTTCTGATGAACCTTCACAGTAAATTATTACATACTAAAGTACCTACCTACATTTTTTTTCATGATTTTTTAGTTTACTAAATATTATAGTTTTAGATTTAATTTGAAAATCATAAATAATAATTAGTAATTTTTCAACTCTTTTACATATTATTCTTGTATATCAACTATCAAGTGCATATTCAATAAATTACTAGAATAATATGAATATTAAATAAGTTTGTATTTAAATCTGAAAAAAATTGTGAATTACGAAATATAATATATTCGTTATATTAAGATATATATACAGGGTGATTTTTTTATCGAAGAACACTCATTATTTCTGAAAGTATAGACATTTTACCAAAATTTTTTTTCTAAAAATGTTAGTTGCATACTTTTCTACATTTGTATAACACTTT